CTCTGGCCTGTACCCCAGTTTTGTATGCAGAAATAAATAAATCTTTAAAAAAAGTAATTCTATTAATTGATATTCCCACCACCAATATTTATGATTTCTTATTTTATCATAGTTCTTCCTTTCATTACTGGACATCCCTTTTTTCTTTTCAGTTTTAAAAAATAATCAGAATTAGTAAAATCTTTTACAAAAAAGTAGCTCTTACAAATGGAAGAGTGAGATGCTGACTTATTGTTTTTGGTTTTATAGGTATTTCCTGAGTGTTAGTTTTTAATTATTTCATAAAATAATTTTTGATGTTTATTTTCTAGGGTCAGAGTAATTTAAATATAGCAGTATGTTAGGGTATGCTGTTTTGATGTCATCACAAAATTGCTTTAACCCAATGTACAGCATCAGACAACTCTGAAGGATGTTTTTAAAAAATCTGTTTGTTATAATGGTTTTAGTTTTATTGGTATTATTTTTTTATTATTTTTTTATTATTACAAAAGTTTTTTTTTACATCATTTTGCACATTTTTTTTTCCATCTCGATTTTTTGGTATTATTTTTATTGTGATGATTCAGGAGAAATTTTTGTGTAGTCTCAGTACCAGGAGCAACTACACTTCTCTTGAATATATTTTTAGTGATGGACATTTTTTACCTCAGGTTCTTAATTCTAGTAGATGCTGGAAAGCTAGGGTTAAACACAGGTCTATATCTAGCAAATATATAGTACTTTAAAGTAATAACTTCCCCTTGTGGACCTGTCTTGTTATTCCTACTATTCTTATTTTCTTTGTTGACCTTCATCTACTTTATCTTGTATGTATTTTGTAAGTCAACTAAATAATGAGTCGATTAAAATAATTAATGCTGCCTGGAAGGGATCATGCTTAATGAAATAAGCCAGAAAGAAAAAGAAAAATACCGGATTGGTTTCACTCATAGCAGGAGCATAAAGGACCAGGGGAAAAAAAGAAACAGTAATGAACAACTATCTACCAGAGATATTTTATGGGAGTGGAGTGGGGAATGGGATCAAAAATGGGGGTGTGTGAGGGAGGGGAAGAGGGTGCATTGGACTATGGTGATGGCACACGGGTGATTTGATGATGGGAAGCCCATGGGATTACAACTGAGATGGAAAAAGGCACACAATGATATAAAAATAAACTATTATATTATTTAAAAAAAATCACTGCTGCAATATCTGTATCTTTCAGAATAAACTAAAACTTTATATCCCATCATTCTTTCATAATGTCAAAGATGCATCTGATCAGAAACTATATTCCAGGATCACTTTAACACTTACCTTTTCTGCTACTTCTCGCACAGACTGAACACTTGTTCCATACAGATGGTTGTTATACTGGCCAGCTTCAATGAATTTATGTTCCTGGATATCTTTTTCCATCTGTTCTCTTGATGTCACAAAATGATAATCTCTTCCATCTACTTCATAATCTCGCTTTGGTCTAGTTGTATCTTTAATAGAAGTTGAGGAAGTATTGAATATTAAAAATATAACAAATTTATTTCTCCTTAAGTCATTATTAAAAATTATTATTAATTATATTTTCATTGTAACATATTAAGTAATTGTTCTGTAAAGCTCAACTCAACAGATATGAAATTTGAAGAAGGCAATAATATGGAGGATAGAAGAGTAAGCATAACCATTAGAAATGATAACATTTACTTCTAACACAGTGACAAAATGTCAATAGTAATTAAAAATTTGTGTGAGTTACTCACGAGGAACACATGATCCAAATTTGTCAGGAAATTCTGAGATCAAGTCATCATTTATCCTGTCTTTCATAGGTCCTAATATGATGACTGGTCGAGTATAGTTAACTATAAAGATAAACTGCATGTTAAAAAACACTCAACAAACATCAATATGTTTTATTTTATAATAGAACAAGTGTCATTAACTGTTAAGAATTTTTTTTTTCACTTTCTGTACCAGTATGTCTAAATTGCTAGTTTATACAAACCTTGATTAAGGTCTTAAACTTAAGTCAGTCTCTTGCAGGAAGTCAAACATTTGATAATTCTATCAAGTCAAGCCCAGCATTTAGGCAGATAATATTTCTACACATTGCTAACATCATTTCATCACAAATGAGAAAACACAGTACTGTGTTTCACTGATCTTTTTAGAAATAGAAATTGTAAGAAAATACAAAAAGATATTAAATTGTAAGAAAATACAAAAAATATCAAAAAGATAAAAGAAAATAGGTGTAAGAAGTGATATGATCACAGTGATCTAAAAAGATGATCTAATAAATTACATTCACTGGATCATAAGGGATTATGCTATAAGCAACATGACTGGGAGTTAAGAATCAGAACTAACATTGTAGTAGAAGTGATATAAAGAGGGTCATAAATAAGGAAGGTATCATAGAGTAAGTAGGGCTTAGAAACTGATTGGACAAGGGGAATAAGCAGAAAAAGAACAAAGGCACTTGTAAGTTTGTGAATAAGGTAGATTGGTAACATTATCATAGACACTGGAAAGAAGTTTCTGAGGAATATAAAATGTCTATATTCTAAAATACTGTGGGCTAAACCATATTCATAAAACTTATACAGTAAATTTCTACATATATACATATAGTAAAGAAAAAATAAGTGCAGCAAAATTCTTAGATTTTCTTTTGAAAAGAAGTAAGAGTTAAGACTTATTTTCCAAATTAAGGAATATATTTTTCTAGAAGACTATATAAAAACATCAGCAGACTTTACAAACCTTCTTGCTGGTTCACTGGCTCATAAGATAAGACATATTCTTCTTGACCACCTATTAGAAAGTTAAAATACAGATGAGAAAAATCTATAAAGATAAATAATGCTAATTTTACTCTTCATATATAAATTACTAGCATATACCTGAGAAAATAGCAAAGATATACAAAAGGCACTTTAAAATTTATTTATGGAAAGATTTCATAAAAGTGGCACATTATAAAATCACAAAGGTAAGGTTGATAGATATAAAAACAAAATATAAATGCACTATGTATTTAATAACTACCTTTCTCTTATTGTGCTTTACAGATTATTATATTGATTTAAAAGTCTTCATTTGTGATGTCAAGTATGTGCTTATTAGTTTTTTATTTAGATTTTAAGAACTTAAATCTTCTGAGTATTAATATTTTTGAGTCATTCTACATTTATGCATACTTATACTATCAAAAATATGTTGCCTTTTAGGTTGTACTAGATATAATGCTAATAGAGCATGCCTCATTATTTATAATTAAAACTATATTAGAATAAAAATTTAACACAAATTGAAGCTAGTCATTATTCCAGTGATTTTTTAAATTAAAAAATATTTAAAGTGAATTAGAAAGTGCTTTAGATAAAACTAAATCCTCTTCAAACAAAATGAATCACATAGTGTGGGAGAGAAAGCAATGTGTTTTCATCTTAAAAAGCACATTACAAGTTAAATTAAAATCTAAATTAAGTTTAGATTTTATGAATACTCAAACTCTACAAGTTATATCTTGATTAATGAAACAAATTAAAAAATAGTTAATTATTTCAGTTTATAACATACAAACATATACACAGAAATATGCAGGAAAACATAGTTGGCAGGTTTGTTAATTCAAGTGATTCAATAAAAGCAAAAGATAGTGGATAATGTATCTGAAGGTTTTCTCCTTGATTATCAAAATTTGTAACAACTTTTCCACTAAATTTGTAATTGATTTATATGTATAGTGCTATATAATTTAAAAATTCATATAGTGGTATATTTCTTTCTGCTTTAAATGTACACTTTGCTGTTTATTACCATAATATATAAAATACATATTTACAAGCTGCTTTTTAAAGTATTGTATGTAAAACATGGTTTGCACATTAGCAAAAACATGCAGTCTGAATAATACACACTTAATAATTCATGCAAATGATGAGAAAGACAGTATGTACTTTCATATCCTCTTTTTAGTCTAGAAAGCCCACTCAAGTACTATAAGTTAACAAAATGCTAAAATGCAAAAAATCAAATTTCTACTTCAGAAAAAGAAAATCATTAAGTAACAATTATGAAAAAAACCCAAAAAAACAAAAACCAATCAAATGAATGAGGGTTGAAAGTATATACTGTCAACATGAAGAAAAATACTAGACACTGGTATTAACAGGATGGACCTTTTGAGCAGCCATACTCATCTGTAATCAAGATTACTTTCATATTAGACAGCAGTAAAAAAAAAAGTTAGAAAAGTAATTTTAATTTTTAAGGTGCTATAATTAATAATATTCATTTACTTAACCCTCCTCCCATGCCCAAATCTGTTCACATGCTTACAAAGTACACATAAGATAATATCAAGAATGTAACACCAAACATCAAAAAAAGAAATCACTGTATTACTACTGTTTGAGCAATTGTTGAAAATTTTTCTTCACCATTTCTTATGTCCACCAAAAGTTGGTGATAATTAATAATTTGACAAATACCAGTATTGGTGACACAGAATAGAACAAATTATGATTTAGCATTATTGAAAATACTTTAATGTTCATATTAATAGATAAAATGGCAAAATACAAGTTTATCTCTCATTCAACTATTTACTACTAATAAACGATACACACACATACATATATACGTATTGTGCACACAAATAGCATTATTGAAGAAAACAATTTTAGTAGACTATTAGAATTTTGAAAATTAACTCTGGTGTATATATTATGATTTTATTTTTCAGTGATAGAATCTTATTTGTCTTTCCTTGATTTTAAAATATAAAGTACCTAAGATTTGATTTTTAGAACAAATCACTAGGGAAAAATACCCCAAAAGTTATATATTACTTGAGATTACAAAAGAACAAGTAACTTAAAACACTTACGGTAACTACTTTCACTATCGCTGGCATTAGAAGTTACATGCTCTGAAATTGCAGGACAATGGAAAAAATAAAGAAAGCACAGGGTCATGAGTTAAAAAAAAGCAAATTATCAAAATAAACACAAGGTGATGTTACAAAATGTTGAAATATAAACCACACATAACCAAAGAAATTTTAAAAAGCATTTTTGATTTTCTTTGAAGTTAAATTTTTTCAAATAGGTATGAATTAACAAGGAAAAAACCTGTTAATTCAGGACAATATCTCAGTTTTGTACAATTTATAAGTCTAAATTACAAGTAATAAGTAGAATATAACAAAGAGGATACAGTGATCCTAAATTATAAATTAGTCCAATGTAGACATAAAAGCCAGAACGAGATCATGTTGTTGGAAATGTTAAATTTAGTTTATGAATGGCAATGATTGACAAAGGAGGCAAGTTATATTTGAACAAATAGATGCCCATTTAAAAAATAGATTTGTTTCAGCTTCTCTCATTCCTGACAAGAAATGAAAATTTCATGCTTCTGAAATTATAAATATAAGCCCAGTATGTCACAGACTCAGATGTCTCAAAAAAAAGTCAAATATAAAGAAATTCTAGAAGGTTAGAATAGACTGGTATTTCTGAGAAATTGTGCTTTGGTAAAATTTGACCATGACTGTTTTGCAAAAGAAAAAAAAAAAAGATAAATATATTCGGTTGCAAACCACAACATTTCTCCTTGAAAGTGACCTCATTTCATACCTTGACTATTCAGTAAACATATACTTTTCATGTAAATGTTATATCCCATGTTCGCTCAATAAATGTCTCTCTTGAATTTGAGGAAAAAGGTAATTTTATTTATAAAAACTGAAAAACAGATTTTTTTCATGGGAGAGAGAGAAATCTAAATTTCCTATGCTAGGCAAAAGAAAAAAAGGTTTTAAAGGGTAAGGAAAAAAATTGAGGAGAAATATCTTCTGTACCATATACCCACAGTCTCCTAACAAATAGCAATACATTAAGTTTAGAGAATGGTAGAATTTAAGATTTCAAATATAATAGTTCTTGAATTGCTGTCACAGTGAAAAGTTATGTCTCTTAGATACTAACTGTGAAGACAAGAGAAAACTTTATCTTGACCACACATATTTTACATAAAGCAGGGACATTAAAATCATGAGAATAAACCAAATGGTAGCTTAAATGCTACCACTAGTTTGTTTGAAAATTTCCCACATTATCACATGGATACAAAACACAACAATAATTTTTAACTATTCTAAAACATCTTGTTGGGTTAGTAATGTTTTGTCTTATTATTTATTTTTTAGAAAATTTGAGCTTGCTTTAAATTCTTTCCTGCAAACATCAACATGTTTTTATGACTACCTTCATTTACAAACTTTTTATTTTCTGTCCTATTTCCTTAAAATTAATTCCCTTAAGTAGGAATGCCATTTTTAAAAGAAAGGTCTTAAATTTATTTAGGATTGTTATTCCACTCTCCAAAGAAACATTAGTTACAGCAATGGAGTGAGGGGAGTGGGGAGTAAAGGAAAGTGTAGAAGAAAATAAATTACGAGTTGATAGTACTTGGGTTTATTTTTACCATTTTAGTATTTAATAAATCTGACATTAAGTTAAAGCTACCACAATTTTCTTTTCTAACTTTTCTGAAGATTTCTCCTATCTATCTTGAGTTCTCTAAAACTATCAGTAGCTATTATACAATCAAATTCTGCAAGTTCATTCAAATATCCTTTTATGTAACAAATATACAATAAAATCTTGCCACTCAAAGTATGACCCTTGGAATGTCGTAGTCATCATCATCATCATCATCATCATCATCGCTGGAGAGCTTACAGAACTGTAAAATGTTTTTTTCCTGATAATTACAAAGAATATTTTCCAAAGTACTTCAGCAAATAGGGTATTATAACAAAGTGTTCCAGTTTATTACTTATCAGGATAATGCAAATCTTTCACCAGAAAGGCTAAAAGGAAACAAAACTAATATAGATATGCCTACATAGAAATGGATATGTAGAAACTAGATTTCTTATATTGGGGATGGGCAGGGTAAGGTAAACTGGTACAACCATTTTGGAATACTATTTGACAGCACCTATTAAAGCTGAATATATGTATTATTTATGGTTAGCAACTCCCCCCCCCAATAGAAAGGCATACACATGCCACCAAAGGCCATATACAAGGATGTTCAAAGCAGTGTTACTGAAAATAAATGCTTGTTTACAAATCTGAGACAACATATGTAGCTTCATATTTTACTTTTCCATTTATATTGTATTTTCCTATGCCATTATGTTTTAATATGACTTTCAGAGGTTATAAAATGTAATAAAGTATGGATAAACCATAATTCACTAAACACTTAGCCAATAGAAGATATTTTAGGATAGTTTTAATATTTTATTTTTTTGCTGAAACTTCTAAATAATATATAATAATTGCCCTCATATGTAGTGTTATCTCTACCTCTGATTACAATACGAGGATAAATTCCTTGAAGAAGTTAATAGATCAAAAGATATGCTTTTTGAGAAAGGCAGTACCAATTTACTCTCAATAACGACATGAGAATAAATCCATCACTGGGTTCTACTTTAAAAGAAAAGTATGCCAGTGTGACTAGTTATTATTAGGGACATTAAATATTTTACATGCTTATTTCATTTGTTTGTCTTTTAAACACTCTTCTAATATCTTTTGTCCAGTTTTCTAATAGAAAGCTGTTCTGTTTCTAATTGATCTATTAAGAGATTTATAGTGAAAAGATTTAATCTTTGACATATACTGTATAAATATATTCTTCAAATTATTTTATGCCTGATGACAACTATTTAAGATCTATATAAGCAATTCTCACCTTTCTAATCAAATATTTCCTTTGAAAATGTTTTTCATTTTGCTCTTCAAGTATTATACATCATCAACCTCAGCAATAATAACTCTTAACATTTAGTTCTTTCCAAAAATGAAAATGCCTGTTTTGGCATCTAAGAGCTCTATATAACTTTTTAAGTAAGACTTTAAAATGTGAAGAAAGAAAAAAAGAAACATAATGAAAAACCTATGTGTTTGACTGAGAAAATTCTTAAAGTATTTTACAAAATATAAAGCTATAAAAATTGAGGTCTATATTAAAGATAGGTACAAGCCTTTGTCTGAAACTCTAAATGAACTTCTCATTACCTTATACAACACCTCCTAAATTATATTTCCTTTTAGTCTCTGTTAAATCTTACCTAGTTTCTTCCTCTAAATGTTACTCAAATTACATTCTTAAAATATAAAACCTTCACAGGTTTCTATTTCTAGCTATTCATGAACTATGATGATGCAGTTTTATTCCTCCTGATTTCTTACCACACTCTAGTGCTGTTATGTCAAAATTAGGTTTAGAAAGGCAATTTCTTTTATTTCCTCTATTCTCAACAGTGCAACTCAACAAGTTTTTGATTCTCTTCTTCGCAGAATCACCGAATTCCTGTTTATGAAGTGTTTTTGGGTGTCACTTTTGTTTCTCTTTTCTTCAATCAATATCCTATTTTTTCATAAGTCTTCAATTAACACCCTATTTTTTCGTAAGTGAAATTACAAAGATGCAAAAATAAGTCTTTCTTGATATTCAACATTTTCCCACAAGTCTTCAAGTTTCTCTAGAATAATGTCTTTTTGTTCAGTTCCTTCATGAATCCTGTTCCAACAGGCTTGCTATATACCCATGAGTATTTCTTATATTAATTATTTCTTATATTAATTTCTTAAAGATTGTACTTGTTTATTTTCTGTATTTTCAATGTTAGATATAGCTCACTGAAGGCACAGACAATGTTTGTGATGCACTTTTCCTTCTAGTATCTTCTATTTTACAAAGATGGGCATGCTTTCAATGGTTAATCATCTGTTTAATGTCATAAGTCTATTATATCTAGTTTAAGAATTCTGGTATTTTTCTGAGTCCCTCAACATCTTCCCAATATTATCTTATCTGACCATTAAGTTAACAGGTAATAAAGTCTTTCAGTTCTCATGAGATAAAGTATAGGAACAAATCATTCAAAGATATTAAGTCACTGCCCAGAAAATTAAATCACTTTCAAAAGTCACTATCTGGTAACCAGTTATCATTTTCCATTTTTTTTCCTTACTAAGTAGTAACAGCCCTCAATTAAAATGAGAGATGGAGGGGCTGTCCACAGTGGTGCACAGGGTGTGTATGTTTATGTGTATGTTCAATCTCAGCACTATGAAACTATTGGTAGTCACTGCAGCATGAATGCTCAATGGCCGGCCTGGGATCTAGCCCACATGGTGCGGCAGTTCATTTCTCCTGACTCACCTGCTGCTAACCCCCTGCAGTGTACTTTGGTCAGACTGCCTGTTCTGTTCCTCATTCTGTCTCTGGTGAATACTCTTACCCCCAGCCCCCACACATCTGGCCTGCATTCCAGCTCTTGTATGCATAAATGAATAAAATAAATCTTTTAAAAAAGAAAGATGGAAATATAATGTGGTCAAAGTATAATTATCATCCATCAAAATATCATGGAAACAAATCTGTATTTAGTTCCTTTCCAATTAACTTTCCACAGGTTTCTGTTGACTCAACAGATATTAAAAATTTATGGTTCAGTTGCTGACCCACACTCTCTAAAATGTTATTCTCAGGAAACATTTTATAGCATTAAGAATCTGGGGAAATATTTTCCAATTCTGAAGATTTCCACTGATATATTTTTCCAGAGGTAATGGATTAAAAAAGGGTGACATTAGTGATACTAAACTTGTGGCTCTTGCTAAATTCTAAAAATAAAGTGTACCTAATAAAAATAATTACACAGTAAGCATAATTCATCAATTTAATACAAACATTAATCATTAAGGTTGAAACAGAAGTACCTACAGTTTAGAAAAAATTCTAGAATAGTTATTATAATTAGGAAAAAATCTATGAAACTTAATGTTTACAAATACAGATCTTAGAAAGAAAAGATATTGGATATACCTGTAATGATCAATGAATTGTAAATAAAGTTTTAAAAATGCTTAATAATCCAAATAAAAATAACTAGCTAGAAAAGAAACTTTCAAGGTTACTTCTTTAAGTTAATTTTTAAGTTAACAGCTAAAAATAACCTTAATATTTAGTAAAAATTCATACTGAATCAATTTAAAAATACCACAGTAAAAATTCTGTTTCCAGAAATTACTTCATTTCATTCATTCATTCCACTAGTTACTGATGAGTCTGTATGATGTTTAAGTGAAGATTAAGTACAAACTACAAATTAAACAAGAATAACACAACAAAACCCCAAATAAGACAATATCCTACCTAAAGGAAAAAGAAAGGATATTATTTTTTATAATTCTTTTCATAACTTACAACCTCCTTAAGAAAGATGTACAATTTTCCTTTAAAGAGTCTTGAACCGAAGGTTCATAATTCTTCTCTAATATTTAAGCTCTACTGTATTTTGTAATTTTATATTATAGCATTATGTACCTAATACAGTATGTCAAAGTAATTTTAACTAAAATAAAAGGGGAGAAATAAAACCACAAGGAAGATTATATTTTACATTCTAATAATGAGGGCAGGTAGTACTATTTTGAAAAACTAAAAGTTTTATATTAAAAAAAAAGACTAAAGTATGTCATAAAAATTACAAAAAGGAAAATGTAATTATGAGGAGAGTTTCGCAACAAATAATGTGAAAAATCAGCACTAAAAAAACAAAAGTTGTGTATTACAGAAATAATAATCCCAAGCATCTTATCATGAAAAGTCTAGAGGTAATATAAAAATTATACACCTCCTCTTGCCAAAAGGGCACTACCATGAATCTCAAAATGTGTTGGAAAAAGGTAGGTCTGTAGATGGAGGTTAAAAAATAACTTGGGAATATTTTGATCACTTACTCAGGCCTTTTGATCCCATGTCGTCAGGGATCTCCTGTAGAGAGTAGTTCCCAGAGAGCAAGCAATAAAAAGATAATCAAAGAAAATAGTTGTCAGTAATACATAAAATTGGTGCTACAGTAAGAGACAGTTCCAAGACCATTACAGGTACACATATCTTATAGAACAGTGTTTTTAGATTCCTGAGTTCAACATAAATTAGCAACTAAATGTAATGTACTGAAAGAATGGAAGTTCAATCTTTGAGATTGATTAGGGAAGAGGTAAAATTTGAGCCCATCTCTTGCTATTTTAAAAGTAAAATTCTGAGTGCCAACATATAATGAAGAATTAGGATAAAAATAAATGATTCCAAATGATTTATTATCAGAGTGGCAGTGTTATTCATAGAAAACAGTAAGCAGCATCTCAGATATCCATGTTTTCTGCACAAATATTCATTGAGTGTATGGTATTTCTATTTTAAACATGTAACTTAAAAATACTGTGTACTTTAAGAATTCCTAAGATGACAGAAAATTTAAGATTGATTAAATAAACTTATTTATTCTTGTTAAGTTGCCTCTGTTCCTACTAGTAACCTGTTGCAGCTCTTGAAACTGTCTCCATGGTAACAACCAACTGCAGGGCAGTAGGTCCCTCTACATTTATTTTCAGTTGACCACTGGATTCACATACTTACGGTCAGCATCACTTGTTTCCTGCTCACTCTGGTCCTTGTTCTTGTAGAAGGGGAATTTTCGGGAAAAGAGGTTCTTTTTACGCTTGTCATTGAATGACTGCTGAAGAAGAGAAGGAGGGGCAAAACAAAGGGATGTCTACTGTCTGTGTGTACAAAGGCCCAGCCTAGTAGCTCTGTGGAAGCTGACTCTTGTGACCACAGTGTGCAGTTTGTATATTAATACTACTCTAATCACATATAAAGTGAATTTCTAATTCTATATTAACTTCTATAATATATTACAACTAAAAAGATTAAAAAATTTGAAGAGTATAATTCAATAATATCTAAAAATAAGGAGAAAGTGCTACTTGATAAAAAGGGAAAAGTAAATCAATTAGCTATTATTATAATCAATAGTAAAAGCCAAACTAACATATGTTCATATCAATCTATATTTTTCTGAAATTTCAGGCACTGGGAGTTTATAGCAGAAGTTATTATAAATGCTATTCTAACTGCTTTTACTTTTTTTTATGCATTAGGCAATAATCTTTTTTCTTTGGCTTGAGCACATTTCCCCCCTTTTTTTTTTTGACACAAACTATCCAAAAAAAGCCTTACTAGAGAAGAAAAGTAAACCAACTGAGAAAATTGCTAGTGCTGAATATTTAAAAACCAACAAAAATGTTATTATTATTGTTTTTTATGGAAGAGGAAAAAAGACAACTAAAGGCTTATGGCATGAATCAGAAACTTGGAAGAAAGCTGTGAGGGGCCATCAAACCAGTAGCCTAACTAGGATTTATCAATGCCATCTAAGTGAAGGAGATTAAAGCTCTCCTCGGCCAACTTGTAGGTTATTATAACTGTTTGACTTATCTTTAAGCTCTATATGTTTATTTTTTTTTAAAGTTTAAAGAATAAATCAGTTCCAATCCATTCACACCATATACTGAATAGGGAACAAAAAGTTTGGTGCTTAAAAAAGTCCAAAGGCAATGAAGACTATGAGGGAGCTAGACAGCTGATTTGACACTCCTTTATTGTAGTGACGTTGGAAATACATCTTTCTCTAAAATTATGCATTCAAAGACTAAAGAGCATACAGCACAAAAATGAGACCATTAAGAGGAACAGTTTCTTTTGTAATTTCTGTTACAGATCTCCATGTCTTGAAGGGAATGGTCTTGCCTATACACGAATTATATTTTTTGAAGCAAGAACAGTACAAAGGATAGAAATTTTGTTCTTTGTCTTGAGTTTAGCCAATCATAAGATGCTATAATTATTTTGAAGAATATCAACAACCAGGGAAGTATGTTTTTGGTATGCCTTTATTTTTAAATGAAGCCAGGTGAGTAAGGAATTAAAGTGGATTAAAATGACTTTTAAAAGCTCAAATTATTTGAAAGGATTCTGATAAGAATTCTTAGAAAAACTATGCTAACTTTTCATTTTTACCTTTTTATATTAACAATTAAGGATTAATAGGTTCATTGTTCATTAGTTAAGCAGATTATCTTGATTTCAATCTTAAACTTTTTATAAATCTAAACATAATTTAAAAATTAACGAGAAAAAATAATTGTAGGTGAATCTGGGCTTACAATTATTTTAAACACTGTCAAGTAGCATTATTTGGGTAAGAATCTTTGCTTCACCCAAATTTTAGAAAAGAGAAATAGAAGAAAATGTGTTTTAATAGAGAAAAATTTATGGTAACGTAACTTTGGGAAGGACTGAATCTTTTCATTTGTGTCAATCATTGGCTTTGAACTTAAATAATTATGATTTCTGATGAAACTGATGTGCTTTTAATAAAAGGTTATTTATGTTTCCTACTGCATATATAGTGGTCAGAGTCAGTTTCACAGCAAACAACCAAAAGAAACATGAAGTTTAAAATGTTTTGATTTTTGATGTCTTTGCAGTTAGTCAAAATGAGATATCATAAAGATATCACAAATAGGATAGAAAAATGCTTGTTAGTTATGAAATGTATTAATTATATTACACAAAATCTTCCAGTTGAAGAATTTATTAAAGTGAAAATAGCACAAGCAAACAAGACAAAAATGTGTAGGGAAAACACAAAACTGAAGAAATAAACTACCTTCATTCAGTTTCTCTACATTTTAAATAAAAATACTGTTTAATTTCTTCTTATTATTAATGCTACATTGCAAGAGAGACAATGAAATAAAATTGATAAAATAACACAAATTTATAATATATATTATTAAGTGGCTAATATAATTTTCATAGGTAGTACTTCAAAATTGTTAAGAAGTGAATACTAAACTGTTAATGAGAAACTGAAATGTTATTAAGTCTGTAGTGGAAAAAAAGTTCACAAGCAACATGTTAAAGAAAGGACTAGAACTTAGATTGGGAAATGGTATTACAGAAAGAAATGCAGTTCTGTATCAATGGCAAGCGTATTTTTACCCCACTCAGTATCATGCATACTTTTGGTGCTGTGTTAGAACACAGTGACTGTGTATAAAGTTGGTTACAGTCAACAAACAAGACTAAGATTTAAATATGTCGTTAATTTAGTTAACTTCTTATAGTATGAAAGAAAAGTTACAACATGCAACCTTTTTTTTCAATACAGTGACAGTGCATTTTATGAAGTTATTTTCAAAACATATATGAAACAAACACACAAGAGTACTGTATGTATTTCAAATCCTGAGCATTTTCTTGTGACTTCTTCCCTTCGATAAAAGTTTCTACTTTAAATACTTCAGTTTATACTATGTAATTTTTGCTTTTCTGAAATCTGTATGTTAACTTTAAAGGAACTTAGAATTTCTAAAATAAATGAATGAATTTTAAAATTTACTCAGATTTAATTTCTCTGCTGAGGGTCATATATTTTATTTCCTGATTTTTTTAAAGCTTTAAGTCTTAATGTTTAGTGATACCAGATGTGTACAGAGTAAGACTGATTTATTTGTTAACTTTCCCCATTCATTTGAAATATGATGAAAAGATATATAAAACTGTGGCTTTAGATAAAAAAAGCAAAACAAAAAAACCCCAAACTGCTGTAAGTACCATTTCAGTACAATACATTCATTATTTCCTTCATGTTCAATGATAGAATATTCCACTGCAGTAATTTTACATACACTGTAGGATGAAGCCTGAAATATCCTTTTCTTCTATTAACATCCATAATTTTAGATTCAAGTAAACTTAGATTAAATGAAAATAAATGCCGGTGTAAAATACATATGAAAGGATTTTGATATATTTCTTGTCAATCTACAAACTCTTCCTGTTGACTGTCACTTTATTCCCACAAAATAAAAATTCACATTAATTCAAACATTTAAAAGATGGGTTCTACTAACGAATTATATTAGGGAAAAAAGGGAAGAAAGGAAGAAATTTCCATGAATTCCTTGTAAAACCCTATAACTTGTATTATAAGCTAATTAATAATTTGGGGGCTCTACTTTCTCATATTTATTAAATTAGTTATCAAGATTAATTTGGTGACCCAAGTTTCTAATTGGACAAGTTTCTAATTGGACAGCTGATGAAGGATGAATTATTTTCATTTATAAAATAGCCTTGACCGACCAGTGATATATTGTTAAGGATATATAAAAATAGTTTTGATAATTTGGAAAGGTCTATGAAAAGGATGCTTTGACAATAAACTGCTTACTTTAGTATCTACTGTTGTAAAGCATCATGACAAGGACTGTTTTTAAACATCTACTGCATTTTGATTACGTAGCTCAACACGAGTTATGAAAGGACCTACCTATTCTCAATTTTTAACTTCTAAAATTAAAAGATTTCATATACTCACCCCTTTATCTCTGGTTTTAGAGTTGAATTTCACTGTTTTTAATCGAGCTCGCTCTTTCTTCTCAACCCTGTGAAAATACAGAACATGCTTTTTAAGAGTACCAAACATATCTAACTGTTGAAACAATAAAAGTACCAGTTTTATAATGGGCATTTTTATTTTCTAAAATTTAAATTTGTACCCAGAAATTTAGTCAAGTTTCTGAAATAAACAGGGCTTATTACACTATGAAAAAAAAACCAAACTTGAGAAGTATCAAAATACCATATTACTGACACATACTCAATTTCATGGTTACATTGACATTATTGTTAGACATCAATTCGGAGTTTAGCAATTCTGCAAGTTTTCTAATTGTTTTGTTATTTTAAGTATTAGGATAGAATGGAACACATACTGTATAAACACTAAGCTTGAGAGAGAAAGTCAATGGAACAAAATGTTAACAACTATTGAAAGTGGGTGAAGGATATGTGGGTGTTCCTTGTACTATTTTTGCATTTTTCTTGTACTTACTTTTCTGTAGTTCTGGTATTTCAAAAAGTAAAAAGGTAGGAAATAAAAACATTAAGCTTAACTCCAGTGATACAGATGTGTAAAATACATAAAGTAACCAAGTATAATATTTTTGGAAGGCTTTTCAAAACCAGGTAACCTTGATAACTCTATGAAAAGTAAAATGAGTGTCTGGGGAACAGGGTTAAGGGGGAATCTATATAGCTTTTAGATTTTTTTAATACTGAATTGTGTTAAAGTGTTACCTAAACAAACAAAACCACAAGTTTCATGAAAAACACTAACACCAATATGGATCTGGCATTAATCATGTAAATTAAGATTTTAGAAATCCTCTATTTCACTAACAACTATGTTAGTATATGGAAGAAAACCCTAGCAAAGTGGCATATGAATAAATTTTTATGTATTGTATGTCAATATAGTTTTACTATGGGTACAGCAGAACCTTAGAAATCATAGATTCAACACATGTCCTTTACTATTTTAGAACAATCCTGAAGGTACATGATATGTATAATTAACTGTCAGTTTTGCCTCAGCACTTATTGAGGGAACTGCAAAACTAATATTTAGTGAGTAAACATTTACAATTTAAAATAGCTTTGCTTTTTAATCATTATCTTGTCCAGCAAACAGCTGAGTGACTTAAATTATATTTACTTATAAGTAATCTTCCTGAAAAAAAGTTAAGACTTGAGGAACTACAATCTCTCGTGCTATTATTAGAAGAAAAGAGGTCGAAGAAAAGAGGTCGAAGGAAGAGTGAGTTCTATTTAAGAAAACAGTTTTGAATAAATATACAAGAATGAAATGGCATAATTAGGTATAGTTTCATACTATATTTTATGGGAGAAAAATCATGTTCCATGCTGGTATTCATGAATTTGGGGATTTGTAAAGGTATCTTATATCACTTCGGGTGATGAAGAATTTTATACACAGTGGAATAAATCTCTTTCCATCAAAGACACTTGTAGTTCTCATTTGTTGTGGGCATACATAAAACCTTTAAAGACATGAGGTTCCAAAGGATAAGAAAATTTTATGAAATCTGACCTTGATATTTAAGATGTGACATTTCTACTGACTCCATAAGAAACAGAGCAAACATTTCTGAATTTAAAGATGATTATTTACTATTGCATGAAAAAAGTTGTGCTGTGGGCTACCAAAATACCATGTAGCCAAACAGCTGTCTCTTACCTAATAGGACAGTCATGAAGAACAAAACCACAATTACAAATCTTGGTAATAATTTAAGTTTCCCATTTTTCAAGTTCTGTGAACGGGTATGTATAAACGCAATACACATACATACTCTATATATACATATATGAGGGGGGGGCTATGAAGAGGTACATGGTCTGGCAAATTTATCAATAATAGTGACTCAACAAAGCATAAATCCAATATATAAATTTATATATAAATGCACAGACCTCACAGAGGGTTCTCTAAACCAAAATTAGTCTTTTCAAATACAATCTGCACTTAACACTTTTGCCACTAGAGGGTAAGTACCAATAATTCACTAAAATAAGTGGTTAAAAGCAAGGAAGAAAGACCTTGAACACACCATTATTCTAAATTAAGCAAGAAAAAAGAAATGAAAGCAGTTACGATTTTTTTTAAAATTCTGCATTTTTTATATCACTTTCTTTCTTTTTTTGTATAAAGGAGACAATGCAGTCAAAACTCCTAAAGCTTTTATCATTATCTACATAGAAAAAAAACTACAGAGGATTTTGATTCTCTCACCACTGGTATAAAACATGGCATGTTCATTTGTAATTTATTTATTTTGTTTTTAGCAATTACTAGGAGTCTTAAAGAAATTTTTTTTTGGTTTCATATTTTCTAGTTATGTTACTAATTGCAAAAACAAGGTTAATAAAATTAAATGGCTGTGAAACACAATATGAAAATCAAAGTATAAAATTACCTCCTCAAGTAAAAGATGTTTAAAGGAACAGTAATTATTTATGTTACTCAATTTTCAAACGGCTTTATATTTACCTGCGTTTACTTGGAATCACCCCAACTTCATCACTTTCACCATCTGGTGTAACTTGCCTGGCTTGCCACCATTCGTCATCAGAAGCATTAATTACATGTAGGATGTCTCCAAATTTGAAGTTCAATCCCTGACTGGGAAGACCACTATCTTTAGTCTTATCATAATCAAAGAGTGCTCTATTTTAAGAAGGGAAAAAAGTGAAAAATTACTTGTTAGAATGTTAATTAAATATAGGATTCTGAGACAGTTTGAATAGATAAACACAGATAAACAAATAACATGTAATGGCAGGCAACATAACACAAGTTCAATTTTGTACTCTATACAAAAAATGAGAAAATAATAAAAAGCAAAATTAACTTGTTATGGTAATAATTTGTTATTTCCCTCAATATAGTATGAGAAATTAAAAAAATGTTTAATTTGTGGCACCCTACATTGAATTCTAAAATGAAGACCAATCTAAGAGTTGTTCTAAATTAATACAAGTTTTCCCAAAACTTTTATAACACAATGTTACTTCAATAAGAGAGGGTTAAAAGGAGCTATTCTTCCCTGAATTTTGACTTGACACACTTGGGAAAATATATTCCCTGACAGATTTGACTCATTAGTTATGGACTGGAAAACTAGATACTGTTAGTCCATTCTTTTCATCTATTCATCAAACTGAAGATAAAACTGAGGTTTTTCAGCCTCAGTGACAATGATAAAAACAAACTATGGATAACTTTAATAGTTGCCAGTTCTAATGGGGAAATATTAATATAATAATCCAAAATTTTAAGAATATTTTAAAATTGGATAAAAAGAAAGCAATGTCCTACTACTCAATTTATGTAATATTTAAATAAATTACATTCTACTGATAGTATCCAAACTAACTCTCAAAAATACAAGAAAGGTCTATAGCCACACCAACCTGAACACCCCTGATCTTGGAAGCAAGTGGGGTTGGGTCTGGTTAGTAGGATGGAAGCATATAAAAAAGAAGAAAATGGCATGTAATTTTCTTTTCTTTTTTTTCCTTTGTGCTATCTTCATCTGGTTTTGTATCAGACTGTTCTCATGAAAGGAGTTAGGAAGCATTCCCTCATTTTTTGAGTTTTTGGGAGAGTTTGAGAATGGCTGGCATCAGATTTCCTTTCAATGTATGGAAGAATGTACCAGTGATGCCACTTGGTCGCAGACTTTCATTATTTATTGATTGATTATCTCTACTTTCATTTCTGAGTTTGTCTGAATCATTTTTTTCCTTAATGAGTCTTACAATTTATCATTTTGTTATGTTTTTCAAAAAACTCATTTCATCGATCATTTGTATTGTTTTGGTTTTCTATTTCTGATCTGCTTTTTATTATTTTCTTCCTCCTACTGATCTTAGGCTTTTGTTGTTCTTTTTCTGGTTCTGGAATAAGGTTAGGTTGTTTATTTAAGCTTTTTATTTTTTGCTAAGATTAGTACTGTTAATATTTGTTTATATATTTTGGTGCTTCAGTGTTGGGTGCACATATATTGATAATAAAGGAAGCAAAGAATGTTATCTTAGAATCTATACAATGCTGCATGTTAGTGTTACCTCAACAGAAATCAATCATTTCTCCCTTTCCCCCTTAAAAAAAAAGGACTACATGACAGGACCCCAGAAATTTCATCTAGAATATAATGTATTCATTCTTTTGTTCTAATTTGGTAAATAGAAATTAAGATACAAACCATGTTCCTTTTATGCTGCCCAGCTTTTAAAAACTGATTTTTTGACATAAAACTGAAGAGGGGTAGAATTATTTGTTGGATAAATGAATGAACTAATTAACAGTTTTTTTGTTTTTGTTTTTTTTTTTTACTGTGTTCATTCAAGTTTCCCAGAGCTAATGGTAGGAGGGAGGTAGGTGCAAACAAAAAGTGGGAAGGCTAATACATATATTAAAATGCATATAAAACATTGGTCTTTATTAGGAGGAAGAATGAAAATATTATCATTAGTCTCCCTAATATTGTCATAAGGAAGGAGAGATTACTAAAGAATGATACAGATTATTTGCAGCAATCATCTAACATTAAAACAATAGTATACTTAAGTGCTCAGTAAAAGCTCTACTTAAAAATGTATGCGAAATACAAATATCCATTTGATATTAAATCTTATTTAGTAAATAAGGACTAAAGAATAATTTACATACCAATTGGTATTTATTAAATATTAAGATTCATGTTGTTAATCTTATGTTATAGAAAAATAAGATGTGTGTCTTAGCCCAAGTGTTTATTTAGTAGAACTATTCACTTTTAAATTATTATTATACATATTCTCCTTACCCTTATGGAAAGTGCTATGGTAATTAAATGTTGCTTAAACGGAGAGTATTTTATATTACAAGAGGATACAGGTAAATAAAAGTGTCGGATGATAAGACAGATAAACAATAAATGCCACCAGTAATATATAAACTGAAAAAAATTTCTGATTCTTTATCATGCAATTATCATTCAAGGAGTTAAATAAGTCTATTATGAAAAAACATTAGTGAAATCATAATATTTCAATTTATTAAAGATATATTATCAGGAAATCAAGCATAAAAAAAATTTCTTTGGTTTGCAACATATCTTTCTATAGCACAGCTAAGTGAAACAACCTGAAAAAGAATGAATGCATTAATAAGGATTGCCACAGAAATAAAAACAATTTACCTGACATAGAGAGATCGCTTTTGGCTAGTTCGAAGAGAACCTGATCCTGAACTAATGCTACTGTTCATCATCTGTTCCCGTAAATCATGTATTTTGGCTTCAAAACGACTGTATTCTGATTGAAGAAAAAGAGAAATTTGTATTATATATTCTAAAAGTAAGTTACTTGAAGAAAGAAGTATTAAAGTTGTCTTAAATTGATTAAATGTGGCTAGAACCTTCAAAGAAAGTATCTGTATAAAATTTGACTAATTTATAAATTAAATTAATAAGCTGCTAAGTGTACCATAAGTTAAAATTGACTGGATTAAAATTTTCTGTGATTATAATATATTGCCCATGTACAGTAGTACTTTTTTTTCTCTTTTGTTCTCTATCCCCTTACCTCCTTTGCTTATATTCCTTTCTCCCTTACCTTCCCACTCCCTTAATCACAGAGCCCCCAGGATGTTTACTGGTGTTGATTGGTTTTTGAAATTGTTTTTACCTTATTGAATTGTCTACTATGTGAATATCCAGTATTTATTTTTATTATTCTTTGCTGAGCATTAAGTCTCTCAAAGTCCCTCTATTTTGTTGAAAACAGCTGTATTCTATTCTTTCTTTTGGCAAGATAGCACTCCATGGTGTGGTTTTACCACCTGTTGATCCAACTGTATGCCGATGGGTATTTAGGCTGCTACCATGTACTAACTATTGTAAATAATACTGCTATGAACTTTATTGAAAATATGAATTTTTGTATTGATGGTTTCATATTTTGGGGATATATATGCCTAAGAGTGAGATTGTTGGGTTATATGGTGTTGAATTTTAATAATTTACTTTAACTCATTTTAAAATTTATAATTTTTTAAATTTATAATTTTATGTTACTAAAGTTCATAACACATTTAATCAACAAAAAGACAATTTCCACACATCAAATAGCAGTATTAATCTTATACTACTAATTTAAGTACAAACTAAAAAAAAAATAGAAATTAGGAATTATTCTATTTTATACTTAAAAATCTATAATAGGTTATACTAGGTGCTTTGTTTAGTGACTTTTCCCACATGCAGGAATCAGTTAATTTTATATCCTTAAGTATTGAATATGCACAAGTTAATAAAGTGGGAATGTCTTAAAAAATGTCTTAAAAATCTGCCTAATAAAATTCACCAGACTTTCATCGACTTTCAAAATAACAAAACCAACCTGAAATAGTAAACATTTTATGATATTGTTACACAAAAATGACTTTGAAGAAGAATTATTTAAACTATACTTTAGAACATATTAAAAAAAATAAGAGGTGGGGGGCCTAAATATATTAATAATGAAACCCTTAATAAGTACTTTTTCAGAAATACTGCAGTTACTACCTGGTTATATACATGGCTTTTCTCTATTTATAATAAACTCTTTTACAGACAATTAGGTTCAAGCCCATCAGATTTTCTTAAAATACCAGTCTTTTAGCTAGAGCAAAACTTTGCAAGGTTATATAGTTTAAGAAAAAAGACTACAAGTGACTGCTGTTGAATATCTTGTTTCACCAGTTATCAATCTTGTTTTATCAATACTAAGATGAAATGAGGCAGTAAGTTACTAAAAAGTCAAAACATTTAAGAGCTCACATCAACATATAACAAAATACACTTTCATTATTGTTTAAAAATGTGGAAAATTAAAAATTACCAACTCATGACAAAGCTTTAATATGTGTAAACAGGTAAACATAGAAAAATTGATTACAGAGTCACAGATTAACTACAAAGTGAATCATGAGTTTATATAGTTTCTTCTAATTAAAAATTTGACCACTAGAATTTCACCTCCTTTATAATATATTTTTGTATGTGCTTTTTTTTCATGTAAAGAATCTGTTTTCAAGACACCAGTAACAGTATTATAATACTGCACCATGACTTGTTTTACCCAATATTGCACTCATAACAGTCTTAAATAACACTAACACGATGACCATGAAATGATTATGGGAAACATTTAATGTTTTCCCTATTGCTTTCTATCCTCAGAGTCTGGGCCACTAGGGATATACAGCTGAAAAACTGTTTTAAAGTCACTTGGTATGGTGTTCATACTGCCAAATGGATATGTATTTAAGTTCAACTGTTCTTTTTTATATTTAACTTGAATTTTTAGAAGTTATTTTTCTAAAATAGTGTCACTGTTTTTATAGGTTGGCAAAATAGTTGCAAAGTCAAATCTATTCAATAAGAAAAAAAAAAAAAGTTTAGCTTGCATTTCTCTCTCCTTCCCTATGCCATGATGGTCACTACAAATAAACATTTAAAGGAAGCTTTATTCTTTCATTTGTATTAATATAAAGAAGGTACAAAAGTACATGCAAATAGATTAACATATATTTTGTAGCATTTATAAATAATGGTTATATAATCATAGATACATATACAGACATATACTTATTGTTCTTCCTTAACCAGAAACACATTTCTCCAACTTAATTTACTTACTAGTAAGTATAGTAGTAGGCTTATAACAGTAACTCTTCATAACAGCATTTTTCCTTTTAGAGCTAGATAGTTGCTTTATTTTAACATTTATCTCTGTTATAGCAAATTACTACATAGATTTTGCTTTATTAACAAATCTTAAAATTATTTTTCTTTTAACAATTAAGATGAGTTAACCCTTGGTGATTAAAGTTGTTTGATGTTAGGTCTACTCATTTTATGCCACACACATATTAATCAAATCTTCTATAAATAGGAAAGCCTATGGCAGATAATATATTTGCCATACTACATGCTCTTGCACTGTGTGACCTTTCCATTGTCCTGTCAAGATGTGGAATCTAATCCCTCTTCTAATCCCTCTCTTCTTGAATTTGGGCTGGTCTTAGGACTCATAACACAGTGGAATTGTAAATATGGTGGAAAAGATCATATATGATATTCTAGGTTAGATTATAAGGCAAAGAAACATTTGCCTGCTTCTTTGGAATGCTTGTTCTTCGGGAGGTTAGACAGCATGTAAGAAGTCTGAGTACCCTTAAAGCAACATGCTTCAGAAGTAAGCTGACAGTGCTGTAAGCCCAGTGTTGTTATAACTCTTAGTTAATATCATAAAGACACAAGACAAAGGAGTGAATCCATTTTGGCCACTACAATGCAGTTAAACCACCAGCTGAATCCATTTAAGTAATTTAGTCAATGCTGCAAGAGTGTAAGAAACATTCAACCAAAAATCCTGCCGAATTTGTAATCTACATCATCTTTAAAATAGTTGTGTAGGGCCCTCCCTGGTGGGGCAACGGGTAAGGATGCAGCACTGCAAGCTAGCTGCAGCCGCTTCATTGTGAGTTCAATCCCCAGCCCTGGAGGTGATCCACATGGCGCCACAGACCTCTCCTGACCAGCCTGCTGCTCCCCTCAACAATGTACCTCACCGATTTGCCTGTTCTGCTCCCCACTCTGTCTCTGATGAATCCTTTCACCGCCCCTGCACCTCTCACATGTACCCAGTTCAGAAAGCATAAATAAATAAATCTTTAAAAATGCCTAATCTGATAAAACTTTGGTATAGTTACGAATCAACAGTAACTGGAACATAGTCTGAGCTGTTGGCCTATGTATTTATTGTATGTATTTGTACACACATGACTCCCTAAATTTATGTATACACAAAATTCCTAAAAAGAAATGATATAAACACATATTTTATATAAATATATTTGCAAATAAAGTATACTTATAGCTATATATTTAATAAATATCTCAGTAAAATTCATATACTTCTAAAAATAAATACAAAAATATGAAATTGGAAGGTCTGCCTTTTGTTTTAATGATAGCCTTTTTGCTTGGCTTTTGGTCCTCTACTATGAACAATTTTCTCATATCTTTGTGGAAGTATTATCTTTTTAGAGTCAGTTAAAAACTTTAAAACTCTGGGCCTCCCTGAGGGGAGTTATATCTCAGTACTATGGGTTATATCTCAGTACTATGAAGCTATCAGCAGCCGATGCAGCTGAATTCAATCCCTGGCCAAGGAGCTGACCCACATGGCACAGCAGACCTCTCCTGCCTCATCCACCTCTCCCCTCAGCAGTGTACTTCAGTAGATCCGGCTGTTCTGCTCTCTACTCTGTTTCTGGTGAATCCTCTTCCATTGCCTGCACTCTGCCCTACACCTCAATTCTTGTGTGCATAGATAAATAAATCTTTAAAAAGAAAACACTTTAAAACACTGAAAGCTTATTTAGTTTTTATATTATTTTCAAATTCTCTCCCCATTTTCTTGTAACTACTTTTATTCAAACTGCCAGAGCTCATAGTCTTTTTATAGACACTCTTAAAAACTAATTTAGTTACATGCTAGCACCAATCTTTATATCATATCATTCTGAGTGGCTAAAGTTTGCCTTCTTGTCTCAGAAAAGGCTTATATAAACTATCACACTAATTCTTATACTTAACTGCAGCTTTTATTTATGAAAGTTTGTTTGACTTTTAGTCAACTTATTTGAATATCTATGTAAACTATACCCACATTTATAATTATCTTTATGTAAATCGAAAATCATTAGTTCATACCAACTTCAATTCTCATCTTGTAAGTTTATATTTAGTTTTCTCCCTTTTTTATTTTTATAACTCTTTTCTCCAAAAGTGAGAATTGTGGATATTATCCTTAACATACATACTCATTTAGTCAATTTCTCTGTATGTAACTAATCAAATTTCTCTTTTTTATTTCTCCGACTTGGCTCTGACCAGTTCCATGTGTAACCTCCTCACTCTGCTCAGAATCCAGTGTCACCAGAGCAGCTCTCATGTGGAAGTCCCATACTGGGACTCCATGGTTAAATCCTAATGGTGTTGCCACAGCTGCCTAATCTTCCCAGCTCTGCAATGTAGAGAACTATTACATTTTGTACTATCTAATGTCACTGGGACTGAACTACTCAGGGTGTGAAAGGGAAAAAAACTATTTTTTATGTAAATTGACTAATTAATTAATTTACAATGGAAGCAATATTTGGATACTCCCATCAGGCATTACTACCATAGTGCAACCTCCCCTAAGTCACCCATCTTGCTTCCTTCTTCCTCTACTCTTATCCCTCCCCCACCTACCTCATCTCATTTACTTTAAGGAAATACTGTGCCCCTTCTATTAAGCTTAATTTCTGAAATAAGAATTTTCTTTGTTTCTAGTAATTTTCTGAGTTCTTATTCGTGTTGTTCCTTCATATAACCCATAAATTTTCTTCAACTTGTTTTGAAGTATATTAGGATATACTTCTCATTTGTTTTGTGGGCATATCTTTATTGCACAGTTTTACAATGTATGCCATGAAGCAGACTTCCTAACTGGGGAAGCTACTGGGAACTAGGGGCAGAGTTAAGCAGTCATGCTTATATAACAGAACACATTTGGAGTTGGGTGATTTTGCTTCTACGACCCGAAGTTGTACCCTAGTATTATCACTTGTTAGTGGGACAGAGAGTAATTCACCACATACTGGGCAACTAAGTTCCCTCTCTTTCTCTCTGCCTCTATTTTCCTTCCTCTAGCTGCCTTTGTAAATAAATAACCCCCCTTCCCCCTCATCTCTCTTTGTATGTCTCATTGTGGGTCTCCCTCCATGTTCTTAGGCATGTAGGCAACAACTCACACTCAGGTCACCCCAATTTCCATGGGACTTTCCTGGAACTGCTACTACTAGCTTTGGTATCTGAATCTACTTAATATCTATACACAAGGATATAGGTATGTATTACATAAAACTCTATAGCAAAGCTTAAATAAATAATAAACAAATAGGTACTTAAATAAAGAAATAATTCTAAACTGTCTAAGGGTTAGTGCTATGAGAAATGAAACCGTGAAGAGACAGCCATATAAAGAATAGGGGTAAAGAATACTCTAAGAACAGAATGAGTAAAGAATTAGGACAGTCACTGGTGCAATCAAGGATCTGAAAGAAGTGTCTGTATGGTATGAGTTTAAAGAGCAAAGGAAGGAGAGAAGGACGAGCAGTGAAGCTACATGTGTGGTGCTGTGATTTACTCAATAAGATTTAGATTTTATTTAGAGTAAAACAGAAATTTTTTTTAATATAATATAGTAGTCTATTTTTTACAACATTTTGTACATTTTTTTTTCATTTCAATTGTAATCGCCGTGGGTTTCCCATCACCAAGTCACCCGTGTGCCATCACCATAGTCCAGTGCACTTCTCTCCCCTGCTCCCGTTTTTGATCCCATTCCCCACTCCACCCCCACAAAATGTCTCTGGTATATGGCTGTTCATTAAAAACAGAAAATGTTTTAAATTGGAAATGATACAATGTAATATCTGTATTTAAAAAGATTATTTTGGTTGATGAACACAATATAGTGGATTAGAGAAAATAAAAAAAGAAGTAGAGGACTTGCTAGAGACTATTAAACAGTTCAGGTAAGAGAGTATAATCCTCATTTCAGTTAAGGTATCAGCTGTGACACAGAAAGGGAAGGGAGGTAGGATGCCTATCCTGACTTCTTGCTTAGCAAGAAGCATTAATTCCTGCTAAGTGTCAATGGGAGTGTTATTTACTACAGTAAAATAACTTTTACTTTTACAGTGAAGAAAACACACAGGGCAAATAAATGGTATTCAGATGTTTGGAAGGAAGATACGTACGTAAGTAAGAGGAACCTACTTAAGGGTCCAACTTTGAGACAGAATAGTATTTCTACTAACCAGTAGCAATCTGAACAATCACAGTAAAATGCAAAATTCTAAATACAAAAACAGCTCCTTTAAGACTACAATAAAGTTTTCAAAACAACTAAAGAAAAAGCAGTCAAAGTTTCATATCATAGGAAAAGGGGAGACCATACTGGTCAATCATGTGTATCTGGTACATACAAGGGTAAATTAGACATAGTTAGCAAATCATTAAATATAAAAAAGTATTTTATTTATAGTATTTTAATTTTTCTTGTTCTGGTGTATGTTTACCAAGAATTAGAACAGTTCTTCCTCATATCAATCACTTTTCATTCTTTTTTAAATAGCTTAATGTTTTTACATAGGTTCCAGAAGATTCTTTCTTGATAACTTTACCTAGAACATGTCTGAGTTTTGACCAATATGAATCAATTTTCTTTGCTTCATGCTGTTTCCTGTCAATATATTAACTTCTTTTTAATACAGTAAAGTTTTCATGAATATAATGAATTATACTTTCACTTATTTCCGCTTTAAAAAAATTTTGCTTTTAAAAGAAAGTCTAATTATTAATATGTTACAAATACATGTCTGTCTTTCATTGCTAACATTTTAATCTTGTAAAATTGTTTACTTTTCCTATTGTATCTTCTGTTTTCTATCAATTTTCTATAGCGTCTCTTTGTCTTTGGTTTCCAATTTAAGAAACTGGTTTGCTTTCCTTGGTTCTGCTAGTTGAAAATTAATCTCTGCTGGCTGTTAAACCTTCTTTTTGTTCAGTTCTTACATTTATACTTTGCGGTATTACAAAGAAGTAATTTAAAAATTGCTAAAAACATTAAGCTCAAAATTGCATCTGATTTATGTCAATGTTTTTATTTGTGTGTATGTGACTAACAGTATGTTGCTAAGTTTTGCCATTTGTTTCCACTTCTTCATATATTAGTATCTTTGTATAAATTCTCAGCTAGTTCCTTTTAAATTACTTATCATTGAATGAGCTGGATTTTGCTGGCTCAGTTGGCTAGACCAAAAAACTTAGGGGTATGAGATGTATGGAAGCAAAGGTTATTTTTATAGCCTTTATAATCAAAGACTGACATTATCTAATGCTACCAAGACAGAATGCTTGAACTAGATATGTGTCCTCTATATCTCTAATCCAAACCACATCAATACTGGCTTCTGTTTCAGTTCCCACGAAACTTGCCATAAACAAAGAACAGTTCTTTTATACCTCAAAATATCTTTAGGAAGTACCAATTTTCCACTATATATTTTAAGTCTGCCATTGCTAAATATTCTTAAGATTCTGCATTTCTGGTTTTACTCTTTCCAGGTGGCTTCTGTTAGATTTCATCTTAAGCACTGTTTATTTTGCTGTTCAGATGTTATATCTGTCTTCTTATAATTTTGCTTCTTGTGAAATGCGTGTGTGGGTCTATGTGTGTTTTTTATTTTCATGCTGCTTTTGTGTGTTCTCTGGGGGAGATTAGGGAGCAGACAGTAACTTACTCTTAATCATACTTAATAGTTTACATTCCTTATAAACAAATAATTTTGAAGATATCTATAATATTAAACAACCAGTGATTATAAAGGTGCCATAGAGTATACTCAAGAGTGCAAGGCTGTATTAGCCAGAAGTATAAAGGTAAATGTGGTCCCACTGGCACCTCATTTCTCACAGAATAGAAACCGTCATTCCAATTGCTTACATTAGCCCATATGTAAACGGTTAGTTTAAATATATAGCCGTGTTCAGTTATGGAATATGAAAGGCTGAGGTTTACAAAACTACATATTTTGAAGTAGCTAGCAATGCCCAACTTACTATTCTGATCTTTCAAAAGATCTACTAGGTTTTGTTCAAAAATAAGTTCCACTCAGGAAAAGAATGATAAATTTAACAGTTGTTAAATTACAGAATGTTTCACTTGGCTCCTTTAGTTCCATCTTTTTATGTGTGACTATAATAAGCACACATCTTTTACCTTGTTGTTTATGAACATTAACCAGTATGCTATGCTATTCTTTGGGGTGTTTAAGTTTTTAAAATTCCACTGAGCTTTTACTGGAGAAGTGTTTATGTTGGTGTATACAAGAGTCTCATATGTATGTTATAATGGCATGATCTCATATTTTCCATTACTACCTTCTTCCCCTAGGAACTCAGAAAGGTCATTTCCAACGAAACTGAAAAATCTAAAAACATACTACATCTTAAGCTTATAATGTTTTTCTATAGTTTGAATAGCAAGAAAGGCATTAGAAATCCTCTTAAATCAAGGTATTAAACCTTGATATAAATAAATAAAATCTAACTTAAAAGCAGAAACTTAGGCAATGATACTATCCTTGCTTAGTTTTCATTATCCTTTTGGACCAATGAATTAGTAAAAAGTATGGAAAAAGGTATGTCTGGCTATAGAACAGATTAAAAAAAAAAACCATTTGAAAATCAATCCAAATTATGGCAAAATATTCAAAACATTTGGTAGATACAAGTTACTAAATTCTATAAAAACTTTAGATCTGGAGAGTGAATTACGTTCAGAGCAAACAAATACTAGACTAACAAATCAACCAAAACATAAACCAGCTAGCTTCAAAGTTAAACATGAATATTAAGAAGGATTTTAAGAACTGAAACAGTAAGATTAGAGAACAAGGATTTTATTATTACCTTCAGGTCGATACTGTGCCACAATTGTGACAGCTTGGCCAGCATTTTTCAAAGCTGCTGCTGCCTGTTCATGGCTGGCAGTTCTGAGGTCAACACTATTTACCTGCAAATCAAACCAAAGCTTAAATTTGAAAGAAAATGATTACACAGATTAGATAGCACAACAGCCTTAAAAAAAAAAAAAAGCTTACACGTTAAAAAAAGTTAAAAATCACTTTATCACTAAAATATTTTCTTGTTCTGATTTACTAAAAATGTCATACAACAAATAACATTGCTATAAATCAAAACATTTTATTCACTAAAAATACAATGTTTAATATCAAGTGAGCAAAACCAAAGTTATTTTATTTTTCCTCAAGTTTTTCAGAATGTTGTCTGGCAATTTCTTGAGAAATGGATCTTAATTTGACAAACTGAAAAATCAACAAGTGTCATCATTTGTACTTTTTTTTTAAAAAAAGATTTATTTATTTATGCATACAGAACTGGGGTATAAGCCAGAGGCACAGATGCGGTGAGAGGCTTCACCAGAGACATAGTGGGGAGCAGAACAGGCCAACTGACAAAGTACACTGCTGAGGGGAGCAGCGGGTGGGTCAGGAGAGGTCTGCCGCGCCATGTGGTCACCTCCCTGGCTGGGATCGAACTTTCACTGAAGCAGCTGTGGCCAGCTTGCAGTGCTGTGTCCTAACCCACTGTGCCACCAGGAGGGCCCCAGTTTTACATATTTCAATGCTATTAACATACATTGCCAAATTATAAGAATATATTTAATTTGCATTCACATCAATAGTGAGCAATTGGACTGGACTGTTTGGCACTTAGTTTTAAAATTGAGACCACGGTGCTTCTGGATACACAGCTTTCAATGTTTAACCAGTTTGTAACGGTCAGCTTAATATACTTTAGCAGCGTGTAAGTGACCCATATAAGGTAGTCCCTATGTGAACAATTTAAGAAACATCTATTTTTGCATTGAGTTTTACACACTTAACTATAAGCCAACTGAAAAGTTATTTTGGTATGAGGTGTGAATTGAAGCTATAATTAATTTTATTCTTCAAAGTAGCTAATTTGTCTAACATCATTTAAAAAATAATCCACCCCTGCCACTAATTTGTCCTTACTATAGCATAGCTTATTTAAGAAATTCAAACAGTAATTTAAAAGCAGTAAAATCTAAAAGTTTGAGTGGTTTAATTGGAAGGATTTTTCAACAACTATACATACTCAAATAGAATTTTCCATCAACACACCCAGAAAATTCTCTTTATACTCAGGCCACTCACTAGCAATCACTTTATAACTTCTATTAATACAAATTAGTGTTGCATGTTAATGACTATCATATAAATAGAATCATATAGTACATATTTTTATAGCTTTTTTACTTTGTTTTATTCAACAGTATCCATTATTAGAGCATCATATATGTTGTTTTGATTCCAGTAGTTCATTACTATTTACTGGTGAATAGTATATACTGCATAACTTATTTAATCCCTGAGGGTGATGGACATTTGAGTCATTTCCAGATCTGGATTATTATAGTAAGACTGCTCGAAACGTTGTTAAACATTGTTGTTGTCTGTATACCCACAACATGGCAGAACAAAGAGGTTGGAATTATCTTTGCCTTTGAAAACAAGTAGGAAAAAAACCTGATGTGTGCTCCTAGAAATCCATATGCTTTGATCCAGTTATATGGCTCCAGGGCATCCTCAGGGAGTTTAAGAACTAAGGTTGGTGGGTGCTGCTGGGAAAGGATAGGAGGAGGTGAAAGGGTGCATGGTCAGGGCTGAGGGGTGACTTCCCAAGCTCCACTGAGGGAAATCCAGGAAACTGCAAAATTTTGACATAAAAGTAGGCCTGGGCCCAACCCAGGACAGTGAGAATTCAGCAGACTCTGACCTGGGAAACTGGAAACAATGCAACTGGGGAGGCATTATGTCCACTGAAGGAAACCTCTCCTCCACTCCCATGGGAGTTCAAAGAAAATCCAGGTGGAGCCAGGCTAGACTCCATAAAAAGCCTACACCAAAAAAGAAGGTTTTAGAGTAAAATCACAATTCTTTCCAAAAGACAAACCAATGATTTGTATCCTTCCCAGCCCTGTAGAAGTGGCAGCTGAGACAAAGGCAGAGCAGCGATGGCCATTGTGGGAAAATTATTCCCATAGTGTGAAGCCTAAAAACCCCAAGTTTCATAGATCACAATTCCTAGAAGAAAGAAACAGGGAGGTGGGGAGCAAAGTGAAGATATCCTAAGCACAGAATACTGCTTATTGTGGAACAAAACAAGAGATGGAAGTGACTAATGTCACTACTCAAACCACAATTGAGTATTAAAGCCTGATATCCCCTCTTGCCTCTACCTCATACTGGGGGGGAAGGGGGAGGTAAACTAAGGAAAAGACAAAGAAAGATAAATCTCTAGCACCACAACATTCACACACATATGTATCAAAAATGAGACAATACCCATGTTTCGGAATCAAGTAACGTAGCAATACAAGTAGAAAAGCAAGTGACAAGTACAGAAGTCCTGAGACAAGTATAAAGAATACAGAAATAGAGAACCTATCGGACAATGACTTCAAAACAACATTAAAAAATATTAAGTGAGATACTAGAAGGCCACTGAAAACAGATAGTCAAGATCTCAGAAAAGAGATCCAGGAACAGAAAGTTCTTCACTAAAGAGAGTGAGTATATAAAAAGATCATAAAGATTCTGAAACAGATAGTCAAGATCTCAGAAAAGAGATCCAGGAACAGAAAGTTCTTCACTAAAGAGAGTGAGTATATAAAAAGATCATAAAGATTCTGAGTAAAATGCAGACAAACTAAGTGGTTTAAAAAGAACCAGAATAGCAAAAGAATTTCAGCTATAGAAGACTCAAACAAAGTAAACAGAAGAAAAATATATCAAGACAAAAAAAAAATGAATGAACTCTATGATAAATATCAGAGTCAATGAGAAGAGGAAACTTATAAATGATTAGACTTCCAGAAGGGGAATAAAAAAGAAATAGGGTTAGGAAACCTATTAAAAAAAAATGAGAGGGCCCTCCCTGGTGGCGCAGCAGGTTAAAGCACTGCACTAAGAAGCTTAAGCCACTTCCGCATGAGTTCGATCCCTGCCTGCCCCGGAGGAGATCCACATGGCGCGGCAGACCTCTCCTGACCCGTCCACTGCTCCTCTCAGCAGTGTACTTCGTCGATCTGCCTGTTCTGCTCCCCACTCTGTCTCTGGTGAATCCTCTCACCCTCCGCATCTCTGGCCTGTACCCCAGGCTCTATATGAATGAATAAATAAATCTTAAAAAAAAAATGAGAACTTCTCAAATTAAACATGGAAATTCTGTAAGTAGAGAGAACACCTAAATTCTTAGATGCAAAAGACATACACCCAGATACAACAAGGCCAAACTATCAAAAATTACAGATAATTTTTTTTTTGGCATGATAAAGAGAAGCAAGAGAAAAATAAACAATTGATAAGGACTTTCAACTGATAAGTATATCCCCGGATTTCAGTCCAGAAATCTCCAACCAAGAAGAGAGTAGAAGAAAATACTCTCAACCCTGTAAGATAAGAACTGTCAGCCAAGAATTCTCCATCCTGCAAAATTATCAATTAAGTATGAAAAAGTAATAAATGTTTTATCAGACAAATAGAAGCTAATAGAGTTCGCCATCACGAGACCCACTCTTGAAGTAATACCTGAAGGAGTTTTTCCATAAAAAAAGAAAAACCGTAAGCATAAACTCCTTAGCAAAATGACAAGAGTAATTTAACACCAGTACCAAGAGTACCAAGAGTACCAAGAGTAATGTTATGAATTAACAATACGAAATATTACAGGAGAAGAAGAAATGAGTAAAATCAGAATAGTTAAATGTCACGAACATCAGCACATGGAGGACCTAAAACATAGGAATTTAAATGAACTCATAGTAATTATTGGCTGAAAATCCAGAATAGACACCAGCAACTAAAGAAGCAAAGACAGTGACAGAAATACTAAGGAAAGTCATCAGAAGAAGTAGACAGGAACAAAGAGAAAAAGAAATAGAAAAATGTAAGAATCAAAAATCAAAACCAAAATGATAGAAAATAAACAGTTCATATAAGTAATCACCCTACATGTGAGTAGCCTGAATTCATGATTAAAAAAATATAGCTCTAGGGCCCTCCCTGGTGGCGCAGCGGGTTAAAGCACTGCACTGAGAAGCTAAAGCCACTTCCGCATGAGTTCCATTCCCGCCTGCCCCGGAGGAGACCACATGGTGTGGCAGACCTCTCCTGACCCGCCCGCTGCTCCCCTCAGCAGTGTACTTCGTCAATCTGCCTGTTCTATTCCCCACTCTGTCTCTGGTGAAGCCTCTCACCGCCCCTGAGCCTCTGGCCTGTACCCCAGTCCTGTATGTACAAATAAATAAATCTTTAAAAAATATATATATATAGCTCTAAAACTGTGGGTGAAAAAATTCTAGTCACTAATACCTTTATGAAAGTCCCATTTAAGTCCAAAAGATAAAAACAACTTAAAACAACAGGATGGAATAAGGTCAAACATATTAATAACTCATATAGTAAGTCAAAAACTGCTATGCTTACAGCAATAAGTTAAAAAAGTTAATCAAGTACAAAGATGGACACAATATAATTCTCAAGGAACAACTCACCAAGGACCAAGGAAGATAGTAATTCTTAATATTTATGCTCCAAATATAGGAGCAACTAGTTATATAAAGCAGTCATAAACAGGACTAAAACATAATATAACAAAAATACAATTGTTGTCAGAGATGTCAACATACCACTGACACAAAGGGTAGATCATCCAGACAGAAATTAACAAAGAAATAGAGCTTGAAATTGAAGACCTAGATCAGATGAACTTACTGGATGTTTACAGAGTTTTTCACCCTAGAAGCAAGGCATACACTGTCTTCTCCAGTGCACAGAGAAAATTTTTTGAGACTAGATCAAAAGATCAAATGCTAGGACATAAATAAGTCTAGAAAATATATCAAGCATCTTCACAGAACACAACTCTATAAAACTAGTAATTAACTATAAATGGAATCCTGGA